GATTCAGGACACCTGAGGTACGGTCGCTTTTCCCTTTTCAGGGGAGCTATTTTTGCTTCCCCAAGTTACCTTGCAGGGTGCCTCTCGCTGCCGCCTTGCCCGGTGCCACCGTAGAGGGAAGCGCCAGCAGCAAATCCAAACAGCAGCTTTCTGTTATTTGCTTTTTTATTTCTTGTTTTTCCCCAAACCAGTCTTCCCTATTTTGTGATAACGGCGGCAGGCAGGGGTCCCTCGTGCCCCTGAGGCCAAAGCCTCTGCTGGGGGCTGCTCAATATGACGTCCTCCACCAACGCGTTCCCTCTTCTTTCTGTAGGTTTTTGAGCTTTTACGAAGCTATAGGTCCCCCTAGTACTAATACTCAGTGGTGTACTTCTGTCCCGTAAGTAAACATTTAATAAGAAGCCTTTTAGGTATTTAGAAAACCCCTGAACGTGTAAAAGATGTATTTCATTAACACTGCTATTAACATAAATGTAAAATGAGCCTGGCCTGTAATCACAACCAAGTCTCGCTTGCTAAGGATCTTTACGGCAATGTTTAATACTCTGTAAAAGTGTATGTATGAAAGTGATTAATCAAAGCACAGCACTGCTTCTAGAGTATTTCTTCTGCTGTAAAGCTGAGTGATAAAATAACTTAAAACACACGGCAGTAATGGCAGTTAATAAGCTTTTTATAGTCCCTGTGTGGACCTGAAAATCATACCTTATTAGTATCTTTATCTTTCTTGCTCACTCATTCATTCTTACTCACATTTAAATTTAATTCTAAGGGTTATTTCTAGTCTTTCAGAAAGGAGCCGCTTTAATAATCTCAGCATTTTTCTCCATTTGCTGGGAAATTACTAGGAGCCAGAGCTTTTGTTATATGTACTTTACAAATCACTCTGTTTTTTACAGTTCATTTCTGGAGATGTCAAGATTTTATGACATTGTTAGGCTGTGCATCTTGCTTGACGGTGTCGTATGTTGTCCTGAATTATTTCCCCACAGATGTTTGCAATTTCATTAAATACCCGACTCTCGGCAGTGACACCTACTGCTCTGGAGCAACCAAATTAAAGAGCCCAAACGGCCGGATTCAGTCGCGAGCTGCGCAGGGCTCTACCCGGCAGCTGTTTCGCCTGCTTGGAAGTCTGGGCCTTTATAGACCTCCGTGCCTTTTAATCCTTGAAGCAAATATCAACACATTTGAGATCTGGAAGCTCCCGGCTCCGCATGGAAACGAAGGGTTGCCATGACCACAGCTTTAGGTCTTGCACGTGAGACATTTATCCCAAGTATAACAGAGCAGGCCTGGAGACGCTTCGTTTTGATTTTTGCCCTCACAAGCCTCGTGCAGCACGCACAGGCTTTCATAGCAGAGCCAATGCCAGAGTAGTAAATACAGCAAGCAAGGCAGCACACGCTTGGGATTCAGAGGCCTCATTCACGTAGTGCTTCTAAGGGAGAAAATGCTGGTTGTGTGCAGGACACAGCTATCTCCTCTTGAGAGATAAGCAGCAGGACAGCTCCTCGCTGCAGGGAACTGGTTTGCAGCAACGTGTAGCACCCGTGCGTCTCCCCTCGGGATGGCTCCTTTGACCCCTCGTGTCTCTGCAATCTGCACATCACGAAAATCCCTTTCTCCTGCATGCAGAAGGCCTGTGCTCAGAGCGGCTGGAATATTAACATTCCCAATTGAAAAGTCTCCTTAAGGGTATTAGCACCTTGACTTCTGTAACGGCCCTTCCCAGGCGTTTAACAGTCAGTCAGACAGCCCGGGAAGTTACAGGTTTCTCTCCTGTCAGTGTGGTCACCACTGACGTCACTTGGATTAAACTCATTAAGAAGGTTATAGAATAGGAGAATACAAATTATTTACTGAGCTTCTAATTAAATTCTTCCATTTGCTGCATAAGATTTTCCCAGAGAAATAATTGTGTCAGATACTAACTTAAGAGAATTTTACTGTGTACAGTGTAGCAAACCAGACTTTTAAAAACGGACGTGCTATACATTTTTGTCTTTGTCTTCTTCTGTCAATAGCATTAATATAAAAGGCAGATTTTACCATAATCCAATTATTTTTTGCCTGGAGATTTGGAAACTTCAATTCTTAAAGCCTTCCAGTTTTCAGAGAATTTTAATATGAACTTGATTAATTCCATAATATTATTGTGACAATAGGTTTTATCCTGTCCTTACTGAGGTGAGGAGTGGACCTCTAACCGACTTAAGCCTAACCAAGATGAAACCCAGCTGGGCAGCAAGTGTTCTTCCCTTTCGTTTTTCTCCTATATTTTGTTCTATAAGCAGCAGAGAACCATTAAGCCCGTAGTGCACAAAATGTGCAAAATTAGCATGGATAGCAGTTAATTTCATCACTGTAAGTCCATGGTAATTTAGAATATGCCTGCAAACAGGCCATAAATTTTAGGACATGGTGTATAAATTCAGGAAGGGACTATGCAGGATTGTGGTTTAGTGCTGTGCACTCAGTATTGCTTTCCTCAACAGTGTTAAACCTTTGCTATTCTTATTTTTTAATGTTTATGTGAGACTTTTGTTGAGCTGAAAAATATATCACTATAATAATAAAAAGGAATGGATTTTTAGGTTTTAATAATGTGCAAAAGAGACTAAAAAGCTGAACATTTTTTTCAGCCTTGAGCTCTATGCTATATATTCAGTGTAACAGGTAAATATTGTAAGCCTGTACAAATCCCATGTGAAGCCAGAAATAGCAAAAAAATAAAGCAAAACAAAAGTTGTTTTCATCAAGACCAGCTCACTATTACTGGTTTATAATTACACTAGAACTTGCCAATTTGTGGCAAGAGTAGCTATGCCAGCAGACAGCATTTTTTTGCTGACAGTTGTCAAGCTGGCAGTTACTACAATCAAAATTGTCATTTTATTTTATTTAAAATGTATTTCCTCAGTAAGCAACCCAGACTAGAAAGTGAGGGAATGTAAAATCTTTTTTTTATATATATATATCTCTTGAGTATGCAACATATCCAACTCCAACTCCCTGCAGCAATACAAAATGCCCAAGAATAATGTTTTCAAAATCAATACATGCTACAGTCAAATATGAGACTCTGCAAAACCGTAATTGAAATTGTGGCAGAAAAGTCAGCAGCCTGAATATGAGCACAGCGCCAGAGCCGCGTTGGGACCGGGCGGCGAGCGCTGCCCCGGCTCCCCGGGGGACCTGCTGGGAGATCCCTGCGGTGCGTGCGAGGACGGGGAAGGGGAGAATCATTATGGTTGGAAAAGACCTTTAAGATCATCAGGTCCAGCTGTCAGCTCACCACCACCATGGCTCTAACCATGTCCCCCTGTGCCCCATCTACACGTTTCTTGAGCACTGCCAGGCACTGTGACTCCACCACAACCCTGCGCAGCATGATCAACACTTTACCACTCTTCCCATGTAGAATTTTTTTCCTCATATCTAACCTGAACCTTCTCTGGCACAACCTGAGGCCGTTTCCTCTTGTCCCAGTGGTAGTTATTTTGGAGAAGAGGTTCTGTGACTCTCCAGCCTCTGGGGACAGCCAGAGGCACAGTCAGTGCATCCTGCTCTGCTTGGGAAAAGCGAAAACAGGGCATGTATCTGCCATCATGCTGCAAGAACTGTCACGAATGAGACCTCGGCGAGGGCTGAAGGTGGTTCCTAGATGAGCTACACATAAGTTTCCGTGAAGGGAAGCTGTGCACAGCAGCACTGTTCTCATCCAGTACCTGCAGGGCTGCCCTTCTCCTCATTAGCACCAAGCATCGTGTGTCTGTCTCATGCCCGGCTTCCCCCTTATCCCCGGTTTTCATCGCTCGGAAAACTTGTTGCAGGCTTCCTAAGAGCTTCATCTGACCTCAGGCTTAGAACTATTGATTCAACACACGAAAAATTTGGATCGTTACCTTCTGAGACTGGTTGAGTATTTGCAAGATTTCTGCTTTGGTCGGAGGAGAAACCTGAAGTCAATACTTTACAGTCTAAATATGCACAATAATTTAACTATTCCACTTGAGGCGGTTTAAGTTGATAAGAAAAACAAAAAGGGTAAAAGAGGCGATCACCTAGATTGCAGACTTTCAGAGAAGAGTTTGCAGTTCTGAGTTGTAGTTAGCACTACAGCATTTTTAATGATGAAATCATTACTTTTTAACATTGTTGTCATTGATTTGCATGGCAGGACACAAGGAAATCATTTGTGGAATTGAGAACTTCAATTTGGGGAAGAGAAGGGATGGGTTTTGTGCTTTTGGAGCCTTTAGCAATACGCTTATTTGACATATTTGACCCAGAATTCTGTCTGGAATTTAGAAATGCAGTTTACTCCCTGGTTTAGTCACCTTTTGCAGACTGTGAAGCCAACTGTTAAGCTAGGTGTATTTGCACACGGTAGGGCAGAGTGGGACCCCAGTGCTGACTGGGGCCAGTGGAGCACTTCGCAGCATAAATATTAAATGATAGTGTGTCACTAGCCAGAACCAAGAAGTTCTTTAAAATGCAATAGGACTCAGAATATAGTTTACTTTTTAAAATCTGCTCACACCCCCTAGTTTAAACAAAAGACAAATCCTTACATTAAGACTCCCTAGGAGTGCGAGACAGCAGCTGTGAGAGGAGCAGAACGCGTGGGGCAGGCTGTGCCTGGTGCCGCAGCAGGTCGCGGTGAGAGGAACCTCTGGCCACGTTAAACAGCCACTAATAATAGTTCCCCCGACCCGCAGCGCCTTGCGGTTCACCCCTGGCTTTGAGGTTGGTTTTTTTTTTTTTTTTTTGCTTTCTCTTTCAAACAGTACTTAGGGGCCAAATCAGTTTGCAATCAGCCCTTCATACTGCGTATAGCCTGTTGAAAACTTGTGTTTTGCAATGTGTGCCATGTTTGCTCAAGACAAAAGCTCAGTGTTGCAATTGCCTGAAATCTCTTGTCTCATAGATAAATACGCTTTTTTTTTCCCTTTAGTAACCATTTCCTCCTGACCCTCCCTTGCTATCTTAAACAGATTTGGAAAGAAGAAAGAAGATAAAAGTGGGAAAGTGGAGCAGAAGGGGAGTCCGAAGCACAGCGTCCTTAAAGAAGAAGAGCTGCAGAAAATGAAAGACGAGCGTGAAAGGTGAGCAAGCAGCAGCAGCATCTCTGCGGCCACTCGCATCCAGACTCCCCTAAAACTGAGGAAGATGAGATCCTGCAAAGCCTGTTTCCCCCTGGCCTGTTCCCAAGCCCGGCTGACTTGCTGGTTTTCTCGTCTCTACTTCTGCAAAGCAAGAGGCTCCTGCCTCCCCTCGCACCCTGCAGCTGGCAGGGCTGGAGGGTGGGAGCTCTCGTGCTTAGCAATGCTCTTCTCTGCCCATGTTTGGCCCCCGACTCATTCCAGGGCTGTTCACGGGATGCCAGAGAGGCTCCATGCTCCTTTCTGGTGTCTCCTGGCAGAAAAGGCAGCGACCCCAGCACGGGGCAGCCCTCGGGCTGGCGGGCAGTGCCCAAGGAAACCATGTCCTGCTTCCACTCGGGTCGTGCACTGTCCCGTCAGCCTTGACTGCAGCTGCGAGGGCTGATTTAAGTAATAATATTTACTCATTTCCAAAGCTAGTAAAGTTGCTGTGTTGCCGCTGCTGGGTACGCTTAGCCAAAGTTTCAGCCTTTAGTTCACCTCGGTTAAATAATGTCAGCAGAAAGTTTGTGCCACTTATTTTAAAATATTTCTTATATTGCGTCCCTGATTTTGCCAGATTGATGAGCGCCTTTATTTTAAACTGCTGACTCCCAATTTGAATACTGGCAATTTGAGAGGTATGTGTCCTTCATTTTAAAGAAGCCAGTGTCTTTTATTAGGATCCTGGCAAGCTAAGAAGCATGTATCCCATCTGTTAAAGGGCCAGTGTCATTTACTAAAATGTTGGCAGGCTGCAAGGAATGAATCCTTCTGCCTAGAGGTCTAACGTTCCCATTGGACACGAGATAATTGTTCTTAATATTTCTTTAGCGTTGAACGCTGTTTTTAAAAATCGCAGCCACTGATTGACAGTAACTTGGTAACACTGCATTAGAAACTGGCAGCTCAATGTCTTCATCATTCTGGTGTCTCTAGTAACGATTTCAGTTTTGACCTGGAAGGGTTTGATGCTGAAATGGAGAACAGCAGGTGTGTTGAGAAGTGGATGAACCGAGATGATATTTTTAACTCGCTTATTTGATTCTTTCATACTGCACAAGAATAGAAGTATCACCCCCTTTTCCGTCAGGTAATTCAGCTTGAGATCAATTAACTTCTTGGGATCAAAAAAAAAAAAAGAGAAGTTGAGTGCATTTTCTAAATAAATGAGCATATTTGTATGCCTGCCCACAAAGGACTCTCCACAGACTGACTCTTAAACTCTCTTTGAGGTGTTGGGTCATAGGACAGAAGAGTCTTTATTTTTCCCTGAAGATAATTATATAATGTTTAAGGAAAATTATGCGATGTAGCCAGTTCCCACATAAGGGCAAAACCACTTGGGTGATTGAAAAAAAAAAATCAGTTGAAAGAAACGTTTTCTGATTTAGTGTGAATTCAGTCTCTTTGCTGTGTTGTTGACTGTTCACCTAGTGATGATGCTCAGTAAAGACAAGTTTTATAGCTCTGTCCCAAGATTCAGTAATTCTCTAATGTAATTCAAGTCCAAGATTTTAATGCACATATTGGCAAAGAAAACCTTGCAGCACATCCATGCCATAGATCTTCTGCTTCTATGACTTCACTGGCTGCAATTCCGCATACTTGGTCTCATCTTTATTAAACCAAGCTCCACTGAAGTTTACTAGAACATAGGTATCAGATTTTTCAAATTTGTTCTTTTTGAGAGTGACATGAGTTCATTTTAAAACTGCCAAGAATGTAACAGTAGATAAGTAGACTGCAGAACTGTTGATAGCAATGTAGCATGCTTTTTTCCCCGACGCCTATGAATAAATCCCGTACAGCTTGAACAAAATACAGATTTATTTCCTAACATTTAACCTTTTTAAAATCAACTTAAACATATACCTTTATCATTCTAATCATTCTATATAAGTGATTTTTGTTCAGCTTCTCAATCCAACACTTTTTTTTGCTTAAATTTCAGTTATCTTAAGTGCTGACTGCCTAAATACTTCAGGATGTGTCACACTAACCAGTACCCACTTTTTTTCTCTATTTTTTTTTTCTTTCTCCATCTGATGTTTTTTCAGAGGCTGAGCTGTCCATTTCGGGCACTCGTGGAAGAGGTCAGAGTATTTGCTTTTTGGGCAGGGTGTGACAGGATTAATGATTAAGCGCATTTCAGCATCTTAGCAGCTGTGGAGCTCGCATGGTTTTGGAGGTTGGTTTTGCATGCACTGTATACTTGGCAGGTCTCCAGAAAAACAAAAATACTGTTCCAAGATCTCAGCCAAGAAATATTTTTCAGTAGGAAGTGCACTTCCAGTTTACAGGAGAAGGCCATCTCTTTGAGTTTTGCAAAATGTTTTCCGCCTGGTGTTAGATAGGGGAAAAAAAAAAAATAATCTCACAGATTTCCGGGGGTAAGCCTGCCATAAATCTGTATTTCCCTGGATGCAGCTTTTTTTTTTTTTTTTTTTTTTTTTTCTCCCAGAGGCTTTGACAAGAGTTATGTTCATGCAGAAATGTCAGATGTGCTGCCTGCGCAATTATGGACCGACCCTGTGGGACAAACGCCGGGGCTCTGGCACTGCCGGGAAGCGTCGGGCCGCGTGTAGGTGTGCGGCATGGGCAGAAGCCTCCTGTGCTCCGAGTGGGCTGGCTTTGCTGCTCGCGCAGGGGAGGAATTGCGCAGTGCATGTGCAACAAGTCTGGCACATCCAGAACGTGTTAGAGCTGGTGGGCGGATGCAGACGCTTCCACTGGAGTGCAGATGCTCCCAGAGGGACGTGGCTCGCTGCACAGTAGCCCGCAGCACACATTTGCCTGGCAGCCCCTTTGTGGGCCACCACGTTTAAAAAGTGGGGAAAAAATCTCTATTTGTGTGGCCTGGTGACTCCCATTCCACACCTTGCTGCTCTCCGTGCTCCTCGTAGCCGCGGTTCTCTGCGGCCGCTCCGCATCCCGCGCGGAAATGCTGACACGGCTTTTCCTGCCGCTTGGGTTTCCTGGCAGTCCCGGCCAAGAGCAGGCGCTGCTTGTGCTGGCTGCTGTCGGGGAGGCTTGGGCCTGACATTAAGTATTTGCAGTTTAGGTAGAAGAGACAAAATCTGGCAGAAAAGTGTTCCGTGGGTGGGAATCTGATGTGCCGCTGCTTATCCGGCTTCCCAAGAAGCCCCTGCAAGGCCAGGAATCTGTCCCAGACCTCAGCACCAGGTCTCCTTTCTGTTCAAAGCCAGGATTTTATTATGCGCCTGCTCCTTCAGCAGACTCCAAATGGTTAAGGGGGCTTCAGGATGTTAGGAATTGTTTAGTAACAGCCTTATCTGTGTCCAATCGCACGTGAAGTCAGCACCTCCTCTGAATTTCACAGTTTGCTCCCGTTCCCTCCCCGCGCTGCCGTGTGCCGCAGCAGCGCAGCATCACCAACGCTTTCCCGGGGAAATTCAGGATTTCGCGGCGGAGGCGGCGCAGGAGGACTGACCGAACTTGTGGTATAACTCTCTGACATGGTGGTTGGTCCTCCCTGACAAGTCAAGTGTTTCGTTGGACCGAGGCCCCGTTTTAAATAAACTCATCGTTTTGCTCATGCTTCAAAGAGCTTGGCTGTAATAAAACATGGGCTCCAAAGGGCTAGAATCTGCCCATAAAAGGAAAAAGCAAATGCGATGTCAGAGGTTTATTTTGATCAAGCTGACTCAAATCTGTATTTTTAGTGCGTTCCGTATAAATTACTCAGAATTTATCATTTTAACAACGAGATGTTCACTACATCATTAAATACTGGAAGAGATTCTCCTTTTACTTTCCCTCAAAACAAGACTTCTCTTCCTCCCTTCCCCCATATCTTTCCCACTTGCATGGGGTTGCCTTTTAATTTTCTAACCTTTGAAAATCATTGTAAAACAAACTCGATAAATATATTAGGGCACTTGAGTTTTACACATAGTAATTTGTTTGCCTTTCAAATGCAAATACAGTGACTATCAATTGAAAGAAAACAATTTTTTCCTGTTTGTTTA